GTTGGGGGGGACAGGGCAGCCGGTCTGCAAGGGGAGCTGTTTTTTAAACTGGCTCCCCCACAGAGGCAGCTCCTGCCTGGCACCCTGCGCTGCTACCTCTGATACAGAGGTAGCAGTGTGGAGTGACGGGGGCTCCCCAGGAGTGGGGCCAGATTGCACTGGCTGCTGGCCCCACCCCGCGGACTGTAGAATAGAATCACAGAATGCTAAGAATTCATGCAGTTAGTTGACTATTCAATTAACTGATAGCTAATATCCCTACTAATGCGGCCTCTGGAGCAAGTTACCACAGTTCAAGGGCTACACTGACTGACAAGGTGTGATCTTATGTGAAGAGAAAATAGGATGCTCAAAAAGGAGGGGAACTCTAATCCTGGACTGTTTCCAGTTTAAGAGCTCTCCCAAATAATTTGCCCTAGAAACCACACACTTGTTTCAGTCTGTTGGCTTTAGCAAGAATGGTAACTTGAACAGGTTTGGGAACAGTGTCAGCAGAGCTGGTTATCAAAATCAGTTTCTGAATACATTCGTACGTTTCACTATTTTAAAGGGGACCACTTTGTCAAAAAGCCTTCAATGTGAGAGTCATATTCCCAAAGCCTTGCCCTGCTTACTCCATCCCCCACACTCACTGGGCTGGGGCAAGGGGTTCAGGAGGGGTATTCAGGCTCTATAAAGGAGTTTGGGGGGCAGGAGAAGGCTCTGGGCTGGGGCAGTGTGTTGGGTTACAGGAGGGAGTATGGGGTACTGGCTCAGAGTCAGGGCTGGCACAAGGGGTAGTAGGTGCTGCTCCTGGGAGAGGGCTCAGAGGTGGGGGTGCTTAGAGGAAGGGGATGGAGTGAGCAGGGTGAGTTCTTGGAGAAGAGGTGGGAAGAAAGTGGGGCAAGGGTATTTGGGTTTGAGGTAGATCTTATATTGCATTTAAATTGAAAAAATGATCTTGTGGTTAAAAAGGCTGAAGACCACTGATCTAGTCTGACTTCCTGTGTAACAGCTCATAGAACTTCTCCAACCAAGTCTGCCTGGGGGATGAGGGCTGCAAATTTCTGTGTGCCCGCCAAGTGATCAGGGCCAGCTCCACCTCCCGGGCGCCCGATGGGCCCAAAAGTTTCAGGACCACTGCCCCAGAGCCTGGTGATTCAAAGGGACCCAGGCTTTAAATGGCCACAGGCACACCGCATGCTCATTTTGCCCTGAGGGCTAAAGGTGTAGGGGAGGCACAGATGGATGGCTGCTCTCTGCCCCGCTCTTTCTGGAAATGCATAGCCTCCCCGCCCCCCCCCCCAGCCCT